GTGTGGGGGAAAGAGTGCGAGAGGCCGCCAGAAAGAGACAGAGCGTGGTGGAGTGTGGCATGCGTAATGCCAAAATGCTCTACATACATTTAAGTTAAATGCCAGCCATATACAATTCTCAGAGCAGCTCCTCTTGGAAATTACGTGACACATTTCTAAGAAAGCAAAACTAATGTCACTGAGCTCCAGAGATATATGTATATATGGCGGAAAAGTAGGGGTAGTTTAGGGTTCTGGCTTGACAAGTTGGCATCATGGAAAAAAGCTAGCCCAAACACTTTAGATGTCATTGTACCGCATTTAGATTGAGTTGCTCTCCGAAAGCAGAAGCAGCATCAGCAGCCAAAACATAACACCAACTTGAGGAGCGGAGTACGGAGTGCTTTTGGAGTTATTTTTGAGTGGGTTTCCCGGCCTCCGCATTTTCCCAACTCCCCACATTTTCCTCCCTCCGAGTGGTTAGTGTCACTTAAGCCCGAGACTTTGGCACTCGCACATGCAGATGGATGCCAAGGGAGATGGATAGCGAAAATGTTTCTATGCGCTCCATTGGGGTACCCTTAATGTGGTTGGAAATTGGTGTTTTATGGGCATGTGAGGGGTCAAATTGTGTTAGATTTATCAGGCTACTTTTCTCGCTTTTGTTAGAGACTTGATATTTAAAATAATAACATTTTACGGTTAAAGTTTTCAAAATATTTAGCTTTTAACATTTTACATTTATTTCCGTTATAATAAATGTAATTTTAATTAATTGTTTTATAACAACCTATATTCAAAAATGTTTTAAAAATATAGTAAACTATTTCACTTGATAATATAAAATCTACAAAACTCTACAAAAAATATTTGTAAAATAAAAAATTTAATTGTAGGTTAAGCAATAACGAAAGATTTAAAAAATTATTCTTCCCAAAAAGATTAATTATTTACACCACCTTTTATCAGAGTACTCCCCCAAAAATAATTGTTTTTTAATGTTTTTCCTGTGTGTGAAAAGTTTCGACCGAAACCACCTGTCCTTTTCGCCTCCATTTCGGTTTTCGGTCTTTGGCTTGCTAACTGCGCACTTGTAAATAATTGTCTATGTAAAGTTATACAACATCATTGCTGCTGCTTCTCCTTTTTCCTTGGCCGACACGCCCCCTCAGCCGCCTACTTGTGCTTCCTCTTCTTGCCAAAGGCTCTAGAGCCGAGCTCTCTGCACGCGTTGTGCATAATTTGAGTGGATTTCGAGGGGTATTCAGACATTCATACATGTGGAAGCGCATTAAACATAAATTTGCAACTGCATTGCGATAAAATATTTATAAGTCAAACTCAAATGTTTAACGTGCAAACACACATCGGCCGACGTTGCTATATCGTCGGATGTTTGCCCCGCAAATAAGCAAATATTTGTGACCGGCTTTTGGCGCCGGCTAAGCCTTAACCACTCCACGCCAGTCAACAATATTATCAATTAAATTGGGCTCATCAACGGCCCAAATCTCCTCTGCCAGTCGAAATGAGACTATCTAACATGTGTGGCATCTCTGCGTGTTTGCATACCAATCGAAAATATTGTAATTTAAATCGCTTTAAGTCTTTAAACATGCGTGACAAGTAAAACGGGTAGACAGATGGTAAAATAACCAATTATAAATGTTTGTTTTGCCATTTCAAGTTAATATTTATTTTAATTATTTAATAAATTTTCAAGTGTGATGTCAAATTGTTATTTTGATTTTATTCTTATAAAATTGATCAAAACATAATTGCAAAAAATGTCTATGATCTTAATGTAATTATTTGGAACATTTTGAAAATATTATAAGCTTCTGTTCAATGATTTTAATTGAATTGAATTGCTTTGTTTCAAATAGGATTCATTTCGAACATTAAACTATTTAAAAAAAACCCTCTACTTTAATATGTTTGTAATTTTTGGTAAAGAACTAAAAACGATTTGGAAATCTTTTCATTTGTTCAATATACTCTCCCAGTTTCCTAGTCATCTGCGTATCCACATATGTGTGCATTTGAACCATACCTATCAGTGGCCTGTTGATCTAGCAAATAATTCACAAATTGTGCACATCCGGAGTGGATGCGCAACGTGTTTCCCTCATCACTTCCCTTTGTTCCATTTGCCACGTCGATGCGGCAGGGCATATATGTCCCATAACTGATTAACGTTCAAATTGATATCAATTTGTAATTATGAAGGCCCTGCTGGGTTGTTGGCTCTATGTAGCGATAGAATTTTCACTTCTCTACCTGTCCCTCTTTAAATAGATAACTCTTTCTCTTTCCACCGGTTTTAAATCCCTCCTGCTGTTTTTTGGACGAGAGTGTTGGCTTGGCATAATATAGCGTTTGCGGTTGGGAGCGGCTGTTGCGGTTATTTTCCAACGCCCCGCTTTTTGTTGAAAATGCAGCAACAGCTACAGGAAATAATACCGTAGAAAAAAGTTGTCAGGAAGTGCTTAAATAATAAAAACAGTTTTAAAAAACATTTTTCCATTAACAAATTAACCGAGTCAATTATTTATGTTCATAATTTTATTATTCAATTATTGCAAGGCTATAAATTCTTTTATCAAACATGATATCAAATTATATTAAATAATTATCTCAGGCAATAAAATTAAGACGTGGTGTAAGAAAAATTTTGATATTTATTAAAGTAAATATCAAACTCATTTGTGCTTAAGGTATTCTCTAGTCGAATCTTTGATGCACACACACTTAAATCCCCGAAAACGCAAAAATTTAATAGCAACAAAGAGAACGAGTACCTGCAACATACAAAACTTTTACTCATTGGCTTGATAAGAAAGTTCTCCCCACATTGTGATCAATTTTAAAAGTTTCTAAAGAGGCATTGCAACTTTAAAAGGAAAAAAAATCCAAGTGATAAATGTGAAGAGCAGGATAGAAAAGGGGAAATAAACAAGAGTCGGACAAATAAGCAAATCAAAATGATGCCAACGAGTGGCACGAAATCAAATTGAAATTGAAACTAGACAAAGTGAATTGGCAGGGAGCCACAGTTGCCATTGTGCCATGTGAGGATTCGAGGGGTGGGGAGGATTGGGGACTGATGTGTTATACAATATTATCATGCTTATATAATTTGCCCGCACACACACACACACACGCACATTGAGATGTAGAAACACAGGCGAAACTGCGATAAAGCTCGAGTAACAAAGTTGAATGGCTGTCTCCATCGCAGGACGATTTTCGGGAAAGGGAATTCCGGCGTATCAAAAGTTATTGCGCTTGTGCCTCAGTCTGTTCGACTGGAGCCAAGGATTATCATAGTATTAGAGGAGCAGCGCTCCAGACTCAAATACAGACGTAGTTTTAGCTTGTGTGCCAGCTTCATATTGAGCTTTGACTGCTCCTAAGTTTTCGCACTTTATGGGACATCGTTGTCGTTGTCGTTGTCGCTGTCGCTGTCGTTGTCCTGCTTGCCAAATGCCTCGGGGGCTCATGTGGCAGGCTCGACTCGTCATAAAATCCCACACCAAAACACTGCGAGATAGTAGTGCAAGCATTGTAACATAAACACTAGCCTTAAAGGTATAATTCAGAAAAGGAAACGTGGCGGAAAAATATCATAACATATAACATATTTGTGTTAAAAAACAGGTGCTATTTAAAGTTTTTAAATAAAACTCATCTAAGCTACAGAAATTTGTAAATAGCTTACTATCGAAAAGAAAAATAGGAACGTCGTCTTTTGTATTAAAGTTATTTGAGTTCCGGACAATAACATGTTATATTGCATACTTGTAGAATTTATTACAAAACCCAAGTAATATAATTTTGACTTTAAAGGCAAAACACTTAATCATGACTTAAAGGATTATTTTTCTTCCAGTGCAGTCACCACAGAAAGTGGAAATCGCAGAAAACGGAAGCTGGGCCAACGCACATGCATAAGTGAAAGACAAAAGACGCCAAAAGACAAAGGCAGTGGCCAACAAGAAAAAAACATGAGATAGGGAAAAGCAATAGAAACTAACAGGGCGGGGGGTCCAAGTTAAAGGACCAGGAATTGCAACTTGCTGCGACATGTAAGAATTATTATCTGCTCTTGCACTCTGAAGTGGCCCCCAAAGAAAACGGGCGGCAGACAATGAATAATGTCCTTGGCGCGCAATGCGGAATTGCAGGCTGCTAGGAGCGAAAAGGCTACAGCAGTAGGTAAATAAAATAGAGCCATAAAGGAAATATGCTTTCAATCGACATAAAATTTTATAACCGTCGTTTTATTTTCACTCAGGAAACAAACAAGCATTCACACACAGAATGCATAAAATAAACTAACAACTTTTTGGTATTCTCGTTTTTTTCACATTTTTGGCAACAGCAAATTCCATAAATGTCTATAGCACATTGAATTTCTGCGGTGCGCGGTTAAAGGAAGTTGTTTTTTTTGCAACTCTCTACTAATTTGAAAATTGTTTGCTTTTACGAAATATGTTCAACGCCCTTCGCCGTTTCTGGCACTTATTTGGCCAAAGGCCAAATTATTTGGAGCTGGCTAACAGGGCGGATGCGTAATGTGCTGCCTTGCTAACTTTGCTTTGAAGTGGCTCACGTGAGCATGGCAAACAATGTGCTATCGGCCATTTTTCGATATTTGGGAAGCGACTGCTCACTTTGTGATGTTTTGTTTTTCCGTTTCTGTGCATCCATTATTTAATGATGGCCAATTAAAATTTAATCATTTGGCTAATTGAATTGCGTATTATGTGGGTCAGTTTAGTATTTAGTGGTTGGAGAAAATTAGAAATCGAGTTGGACTTTTGTGTCTCTAGCTGAGAGCGGAATAGTTAAATGCAATTTGTATAATCTGTATTATTCGGGTAATAGCTTTTAGATAGCAACGAAGCGATTATTTAATAATGTTAAAAATTAATTAAGTTTTCAAAGCAAATGCTTAGTATGCTAAGATAATAAGGAAATTCAATTCCGTAGACTAAATAAACTTATCTAGTCATACGAAGTGTTCAACTTAATTTATTATGCAACTCATTAGTGACAGACATTTATTTTGTGATTGACTGAATGCTTAGATACTCTAAAGCTTCCTTGTGTTATAGTTTAAAGACTTTATTCTTAGGTAACCAATGTGAAAGTCTTTAAAAGCCTTCATTAGAGTCTTCTTTGCATAGTTTCTCGCATTCCGTGAGGGCTTTAAAAAAGTTTTTAATTCCTCTACACTTTCCGCTTGTCTGTAGGCATTTATTTGTACCAAGATCATAGGTGTACCCCTTATCTATTCTCTTGCAAGCACCCATATATTCGGCAAAAAGTTCACATTTTCCTGGAAGAAAGACAGTTTTAGTTGTAAGGTTTTTGGTTGACACTACTAACTTTTTGTGCCCAGTACAAAACCAAATAAATATAATGCGCAAACTAAGAAAATGGACTTCATTCTGAGTTCAGTTTTAAATGTTTCCTGTTCGGAAGAGACAGATTAAAATGCTTAATGAAAATGTTAACACTACATTATCTGTGACCAATAGAGTTAATGAAATGAAATGAAAAAAGTAACGAGTCTTTCAACCTTAAAAATAAAATTAAAATATCTAAAATGTTTGCTTTGTGATTTTACAATTTCGCATTCTTTCTACATTTTTTAGCAACATCATCTCTTTCTTTGATCAGAATTCCCATCTTTTACTTTGGGACTAAAATCAAAGCCACATAATTACCCCACAGCCAAACCAACAACATTCGCTAGTCATTTGTATTTATTTCTTTGTAACCGCAATGCAAATGAAGTTGCTCCTCTCGTTGTTACAGTTCTATCTTTCTTTTTATTATTTTTGCAATTAAATTTCATTTGTGGAAACACACCCACATACACACAAATGGAAGTGCCAGAGGGAAAAACAGCAAGAAGCAATTGCTGTGAAAGAAGTTGCCGAAAAAAAGGGGAGAAAATGTCTGTCAGGAAAAACGGAGGGGAAAAACAACAAATAATAACGGCGTTGATTTCATTTCTCATCTGGACCTCCGCCCTCCTGGCCCTTTTTATTTTGACATCCCCTTCCATTGGCCGTCACTTTTTTCGAGCTATTTCCCTTTTTTTGCCCGCTCTGTTTGTCTACTTGTTAGCAGCCGCCTTGGCATTAACACGTTAAAAATTCGCCGTCCGCTTTTCCGGCTTTCCCTCTTCTTTTCACTATTTCCGCTTCCTTTTAAGTGAGCCATAAAAACAAAAATCAACGAGCTTTCTGTCGCCCAACGCCTCGTTATTTGTTTGGCCATGTTTACGGAAATCATTAACATTTTCCTCAAGCTTCCAGCTCTAATGAATTGGAAGTGGAACCCCCAAGAAAATGACTCAGTAAAAAACAGTACAAAAATGCTCCATAAAAGTAATTGAAGATTGAAGCTGGGCGAGACACAAACGAATATTTTATAAGCTGAAGTTAAGCTTTATTTATTTTACCAATTTATTTTTGATTTCTGAGAGGCCTTTTTATTTTTTTTCCACTTTAAGCCCATTTTATTTGAATTTTTTGAAAATTAAAAGTGATTTGCTTTTAAATTTAATACATATTTGTTTTTGACTTACTCGTTAGATTATTTTACGAATTAAAGTAACTCACATTTTAAGATTCAGTAAAACCATAAGTGAGAATGAAATTGGTTCTGGTGATTTATTAGGCTTACTTTGAAAGCGGGTAATTGCCGTACTTTTCATACACTTTCGTCCATTTTCCAGCTCTTCTCGCACTATGATGGCCTGCTTTTCATGCCCCATAACGCGACCCCAATGGGCTTTTCCCCCCCTCCACTCGGCACAACTCAACTTAACTTTTCACTTTCAATTTGCCAGGCTCTGCGGCCCATAAAGCCGGGCGTTTATGGCCAACACGCGTGGCCAACACACTGAATCCCGCACAACCCTCCCAAAAAAAGAAACTTTCATAATTCATAAGCTGCAGGAATAAACTGCCGGCTGAGAAAATCTACTAAGCACACGGGGCAGCACTTGGATTTACACTTTATGGGGGGCCAAATGTGGTATGAGATTCGTGAGAAGGCCACAAATCATGTTTTAACAACTTAATAAGTTGGGAATCGCTGGTCCAGCCAACCGAATTTGAATATTGGCCCAGAGACGGGACATGTGTCTAACATTTCGTTTTCCCCAGTTCCCAAATTTGGCCCGTATTCCCAACCCATGACGTGCACATTTTTTCCTGCTTCATCATCAGAAGCTGGAAAAAAATTAAGAGGAAGGAAGATGAGACCACTCCTCGATGCTTTTTATTTGCGCTGGCTTTTTATGACATTTCAAGGGAAAATTTATATAATAATCATAAAAGCGGGAGAGCATGACCGTTGCGGAAATGCTGCGATTTATTTGTATTTGCAGAGTCTTTTCCGCTCACTATGTTTGTGTTTTATTTGCAGCCAATTGATTTGACTGGCGGCGGGCAACTGGTAAGAGCGATGATGGCTATGATTTTCCTGGGAGTGGGTGTGCGTTTCCTCATTTTTTTTTCGGTGCCCCAGGGTTTGTTTTTTGGCGATGGCGAACATAAAAGTGTAACATCATATGGCCGGAGCACTCGTCTTTCGGTGCACGAAGCCATCATTGTTGCCACTGCGGCTCACTTTATGTGGCATGAATGATTTTATGACCGCCCACATATCGCAGGAGAAAAAGTGGGGAAAACGCTGGAAAAGCGGGAAAAGCTTGTACGGCAGTTCGGCCGTTTCACTGGGCATCAAATCAGGAAATTGTTGCAATTAAAGCGTAAGTAATGATGCAGCTAACAATGAGTTACGAGTGCCTAGGGAAAGGAAAAAGAGTGGAAGAAGTCGTTTTTTGCAGGTGCTTTCTGCCATCAAAGTTTTTCAACATTAGTATGCTGTTCCCATTGGCTTTCAGGCACAATCAAAAAGCTTTGATTTCAAAAATATACCACGGGCAATGCATTCGTTAAAGCAGGATACTTTTTTTGCACTTTTAAATGCGTGTGATTTATGCAAAAAGCTACAAGCAGTTTATATTTAAATTTTTTGAACACTAAAAATCTGTGCGAAGAAATAAACATCAGTTTAAAGTAAAAAAGCGTTGAAAAACGGTTTTTATGTTTTTTTAGGTCATGTTTTTGTTTGTTTTGTTAAAATTATTAGAAAAAATTTATAAGAGATATATAAAAAAAACACTGCAAAATATAAAGTATGTACAGAAAAGCATATTCTTCAAAACAAAGTAGGCTCTTCCGAAAAACTCCACAGCAATGTTAAGTCTTCCCTGAAAAACAGTTAGTTTAACCCCAAAACTTCACAAGGAAACATCTAACTTTCGATTTTTGTTTTACTTTTACAAAATACTATCACAATGTTGTAAGTAGAAAAAAACAAAATTAACTTTAAAAAATATTTGATAAAAAAATTCCATTGTCAGTGAGTCATTCGATTGGAATTCGGGACTATATTTGAAGAATTATCGCGATGTCAAGCAACGGGTTGTTAAGAAAATTGGGGATCTGGAGCGCAAAGGAGTAATGTGGGGTCGTCTTGTTGGCATCGAAGATGGCAAGGACGATGTATTTTTCCGTTTCATGAGGGAGAACGTATAAGTCGGTTCACAAAATTGAATAAATGTGTATGTGGAAAACATGTGTTCAAGTTAACTTTAAAGCAAAGACAAGAAAATACTCGTTCAATATATGAAATGTAATGTTTGGATACACTCGTATCTCAATTATTCGCTTAGCCTTTTATTATGAAGCCGGACAACGATTCGACCGCAAAATGGGAAAACAAAAAGGGACAGCACAGTCTGATAAAAAAGGAAAACTTTGGAAATTTTCCACAGGTTCAGCCGAGCTGAAACATATGGCAGAACAGGGAATACAGGAGCGTGAGATGGGTGGCGTAAAAAAGTTACTGAAAAATGGCTGAAAAATGACATTAATTTTAATGCATCACAACAACCCGACTGCAAAAAGGAAAATACAAAAAATTGTCCCAATTTTTCCTCTCGTTTTTTTAATTAAAAATTGTTTGTGGCGCGCATTTTGCATTTTTGAAAAGTGGACAGGGGATGTGTTGCTGTGAATTTTTATTGTGGATTTCCTTTTATTGGGACAGAAAGAATCCTTTACCTTTCCCCGCCGCCCCGCTTGTCACTTGAACTGTCAATTACATTTGTGAACCGCTCATCCTCTAGCTCCCCCCACATCAAACTCATTTTCCTGTGCATGCATGCGAAATTTTCCTTCGATCCTCGGATTTTCGAATCCATCTTTCTCGGATTTTTCCGCCCATGTTGTACTTATGTATATTCCTCAGTAGCGCCATTTGATTAACATTTAAATTTGCTTTCGGCGTATGTGCAACTGACAGTTGAATTTGGCTTGGGCTTCGGTACGTTTTGGCTTTCTTCCCAATCCCACTCGAATTTCCCTTGTCCCGTGGCTCGAGTGCGAATTGTGTGCTTATGACACACAATAATCAATTGTTTTAGCCTCACTTATCGAGTGCCAATAGAATCCTAGTTGCGTCCTGTTCTGGACATTCGATTCGGTGCGAGTCAAGCCAGGTTATTGATGATAGCTCTGGAAATCGGACCATCCCTGGCACTATATTAATATTATTCGCTGCGGCAAATAGTTTATTGTTTATTGAAATGAAATATTGTTCTCGGGTGCCTCGTTGATTTGCATACGTTGATTGCTTAAATGAAGTGCGCTCTCAAAGGCAAATCATAATGCTGCCGTCCGTTCGACTATCAAAATTATTTCAATTGTTCGATGGCATGGCGAATAGTGCACAAAATATTAGGAAAAATATTGCCAAATTCTGTGTGCTAATTCGATGATCATACAATTCGTTTTTACTTGTTCTATCCTGTCTGATTTTCATGCACACATATATATATATATTAACATTTTAATTTGTCGTCCTATTCTCAATATTTAAGGCTTCTAATTTCTAAGAGTTAAATGAAGGTGATTCGAATGGTGATTATTTGTCAGCAATTATTTGGAAACTAAAGCCACACGGAAATGGACAAAATGGGGAGAGTATAAAGCTGATGAAAAATAATAAATGCAATTTTTGTATGGAATTTATTAAAATAACATGAGTATCAAAAAAATTAGAGATTATAAACGATTGAACAATACTAAAATTAATATTTATCTTAACCAAGAGACTTACTTGAATTAAATAAATGTCTTGAGTATGGTAAAATAGGCATAGCTTACAAATATTTAATATATCGAAAATATAGTTTATACTGTACTACATTTTCCCTTCAAAAACTGCAAAATCGGCGCTATGTGAGTCAGCCATAGTAAATCTTGGCCAGAATGGTGGCAAAACTTAAGTACGTGTTGATTATGGTGCGTGTTTGTTATTATTATTGTTGCAGCAACTTCTTCTTCTTCTTTGCCGTTGTGGTTAATGGTAGTGGGGAAGTGCAGGAGGGGGGAAAACTTCTACGCCATTTACCATATTCCACGACTTGCAGCAACCGTAGTTTTTTATGCAAATATTTAAGAGCATCATCGAAGGCACGGCGAGTGCAAGATTCTTTCCACTCAGCGCGGTGCAAGTGTGTGTGTGGTAGTGTGATTGTGCATGTGTGTGTGCAATAATGCCCTACGTGTGTAAGTGTAAGTGTGTGTGGGTGATCGGGGAGGGAGAATCCCCACAGTCCGTAAGCCATATGTAGATATATGTTTATGTCTGTGCACTACACTCGACGATAAAATCGTCATGTAGTCGTAATGTCTGCATCAAATTGCATTTGCTCAACGCCTCTGGCACGTCGCTAACTCTCAGCCCCACCCACTTTTCGCAACCGCCACCGCCCCCATTTCCCATTCTGTTTTTCCCTTTTTTCCCATGAGAGGGATATGGGGGTTCCATATGTGTCGACATCGTCAACGCAATGTGTATTTATGCATAGTTTAATGCGGTTCAATGTCTGGTAACGACATCAAAACACACCCAGGATGGAAAGGGGAATCAAGGGGGGAAGGTTTCCACCGACTCCCCACACTAAAGTCATAATCATAATCAGGAATCATAGTCAGTTGCAGGAAAAAGAAGAAGCTGCCTCCGAGTTGAATAGATATTTTTATTATTTTCAGATTGAATTCGCATATCGTTAGTAACGGCAAAGATCAAGGGAAATCGGGGAGCGGATTGAAAGTGCGCTTGAATGCACGTTAACCAAATCGGATTTGTTTAATATATGATCCGGAATTCGAATTTGATTGCTAAGTGCATTTTATGTGCATATTGATGGTTTGACAATGTTATGACAAGTCCTAAGTGGGGGGATTAAATGACAAAATAAGAAAGGAATCGATTAGGGGGATTATAGAAAGATTTTAAAGGGAGCTTTGGCGGGGGAAAGTGACAAAGGTTGAGGCAAAGGAAATGGATTCTGTTTAAAATTTCTGTTGAACTAAATGGAAAACTAATGAACAATATACTTTAACAAATTTTTTAATACAGAAATTAAGATGTTAATAATGAATAAATACTCAAATTTTTCTTAAGAATAAGACAAAGGAAATAAAACAGGCCTGAATAAAAGCTACTGTTTATAGTTCATCCTCGTCACGACCTTGACTTTTCCCATTTCGAACAACACACCCCATTCATGTCATTTTTTTGTCTAGAGGCATTTTATCATTCAGCTGATTCCAAGTACCAGCAAAGATGTATTTCACTCAGTGTCCTGTATCTTGTTTCCTGCGTATCCTCGTCTCCTTTGCCACTCGACGATTTGAAGATGCAAAAATGTCCATTTAAACGAGATTTATGGCAGCCAGCAGGGTTATTTATGGCAAGTTGTTTTATTTACACGATATCTGCCAGTGGCCAGATGGAAAGCCACCTCCATTCCCTACCACTAAGCACTCGCAAATAAATTTGCACAAATTATTATGGGTCATGGGGATTAAACGCAAACAAGCCCTGGCAAAAAATAACGCGGAGATGTGCCTATGGCCGTGGTTTAATGGATAAAATTCGATGGAAAAAGTGCTTGGTAGAAGGAAGGAAGGGAGTACAGAGGAATAAACTTGCCCACGGGTCAGTTTATCGCATTTATTGGCGCTCTATATTTTATACATAAATTCTGAGCTACGTTGCGTTGTTGCAGGTGCAGCAGCTGCACACAAAAACAAACTGGCAAACACGCAAACAAACGGAAAACTGAAACCAAATGCAAATAGCTTAATACACATTTTTTGGCCTGGCCAAAACAAACTTTTTCCTCTCTTATGTCACCCTCACCTATATACACATATATCTATCTGTCTACATACATATAAATGGAAAATAGGGAACGCCGGCAGCATAATGAATGCCACATAAATCCGCTGCCTCCGTGCTCTAGATTTCATGGCTATGATTTTGTAATAAAAATGCATTTTTATTACGAAAATAAATTGCATTCCTTTCGCTGCCTTTTTCTTATTTATCATTTTTTGTGCTTCTTTGTCAAATTGTTTGGATAGTTGAAGTGGGTGAGATAAATCCCTTAAATCTTTAATTAAATTCCCACCCAATGCATTGCAATGCTGAAAAGAATAAATGGAGGATGGAAAATGGTGGCGAAAGAGGCAAATATTAATTAGTTAATTAAGGTTCAATGGCCCAGAAATGTGGCAAACTGGAAACGATTGCTTATTTAGCTGATTATCCTTGGGTTAATGTCGCGTGTACGTAATGGGAATTAATTTCGGGTACTAGGCAAAAACAATATAGAAATAAAAGGTTATAATACCTCTATTTTACTGAGTCTCACTAATTGGAATTCCCAAAAAAAAATGTAAAGATTGCTTTTTGGCTTGGACTCTCCGAAATTATTTAAGAAAATCAAAAAGAAATGTATTTATTAATTCATTAAAAGTCTTTAGTGATTTCTTTAGTTTTTTTTTAAGTTCCACAATTTGATAAGTCTACAATTCTTTAAATAATGGCAATCTTCACTCGTTCCAAACCATTTAAATTGATTTAGTGTAAGCCCTGAAATATATTGCGTATACGCGATGTGAGCCGCTTAGCAGGCAAAACTGTTGCATGTGAAACTGGTTTTCGTGTCGTAAAAACCGCAAAAGCCAAGCAGCAACAAAAACAGCAAGCAAATGGCAATGCAAATCCAAAATGGCGTCAACTAAAAGAACAGCAGAGAGCAACAACAATGTCAATCCCTTTTTAAAAACTTTTATTGTGCAGTCGAGCATAAACAAAAATGGCCCTAAAATAAATACAAATACAAATACAAGGGCGAGACGGAGACGGAGACACATTCAAAAAACACCCATACAGACACACAATATGCCAGCGTGAAAACTAATATGCTTTAATGGCTTAGGACTTTCAGGACTTTGAATGGCTGCCCTCACAATGTTATCCTTTTCTTCAGCCTCTGTGTCTCTTGGCTTTTTGAGTAAACAAGTCAGATGGATAAAAAGGCATGACAAACAGAAGAACACTGCAAAAAAAACATGGCTTGAGTACGTTTTTATTTTAATTTAAAAAAGCCACAAAAAATGCTAGTAAAATTAAGTAAATATTTAGAAATTCGCATTATTTATAGCGTCCTTTTTAGACTTTAATTATGTGAACAAAAAATGTTATTACATCAAATTAAAATGCAAACAATTTTTTTTTTCTTGAAATATCGGTTTTACCCCCTTTCCTTTAATACTTATAGCCTTCCTCCGATTCCATCAGTGA